TTACCAGGATACACAGTTTCTCAGGGTCTTTTATAGGATGTCTTTAGAAACTCTCCAAATCTCCTCCATGGTATAGAAATTCACTGCTTTTTCTCCAGCTCTCTGCTACCAAACAATCACTTTTCAATTACAATGATCTTCTCTGGGACAGCTGAGTTAAATTAGGAACAGACTATGGCTTAAAACAGCCATATCACACCAGAAAAATCTATCTTTTGTTCAGCACTTTTTGTGACTTGGAAAAACACCTTGAATTTTTATTTTTATTTTTATGCATGTGATGATGTAGCTGTGAGGAATCTCTAATTCTAATTTAAAAAATAAGGTAAGAGAAAGATTTACTTTTTTGGATTATGTGCAAAGTTTATGTATATTCTTAAATATTGACTTCTTTTTTGAAGTGTAGATGTGAACTATTTTAAACAATACTCTCATTAAGTAACACTGTTGCCATTTATTCTCAACTGCCACAGAACAATAGTTAGGATGTCACATGTTTTGCCAGATTTTAGCCATATGGTGGGATTTTGTCTCATCTATTTCTTTTGTTTGAAGGTTTAAACAGAATCATTTTGTGTAGCCCTAACTGTAAAGAGACCACTTCATTCTGCCATAGGGTGAATTACACATATAGAGACCTAGAGATGAGCACCCTTTCCAGCACACCAGAATAAACAGAATGTAAGAGGGCTCTGCTCCTAGGAACTTGAAGGTTAAATGAGCCACAATGAAGCCTTAATGCAAAACCACAGGTGTGTTTCTGCAGTCATTACAGTCCCAATTGGTGTCTTTCTGGATGCACTGACCTCATGGAATCAGGCCGAATCAGACCCAGCCTCACAGCTGCACCTCTGAGGAGCGAGTCAGAGCACATAATATGGGATGGGTGTTTTGTCTGGTTTATGTTTTTATGCCAACTTCTTGTCAGCTACAGGAAGACTGACTGAACTGATGTAACTAACAATGACATAACTGAGGTAAAATAAGTTTGGTTTGTCAGACTCCGCCCCTTTGAATTTATTTTTTTTTAAGAATTTTTGATTTTAGCAGAATGGATATGTATTATTTCACTGCTTAGTGTTATGTGAGTACAGTGTTTTTCTCTCTGTATTAAGGACCCAAAACTTTACTGGCTCTCACACAAAAACATGGCCTAAGCTGTTATTCCACAAAAATATGTGTTTTTAATGATAAGCCACTGAACAGATCCAGTGACTTCACTGACACTTAAAAAATGAAGTTAAAGTGTGCACATAAGTCTTCAAAAGGAGACTGGAGAGGGTTGTGAGAGCAACTACATTGAGAGACAACATCTGGATCTGCCAGAACACCCCAACCTCTGCTCCAATTCCAAAAAGGGCCTTACATCTTACACTTGAATATAAAAAATTTCTACTAATGCTTAAGTTCTGGCTGATATAGAATATTGCTACATTGTTGGAATATATTGGAATATAGCACCCAAAGTAATTCCTGGCACTCATAATCACCCTCATCAGTGATAAATTGCCCAGGACTAAAACCCTGAACAAGATCATATCTCTGTTGTACTGTGATCATGAGAATGTCATTCCAAGAAACCAAATACATGTGAACAGGCTGTTGCATGTACTGCTTCCCTAGTTCCTTATAGATAACCCAAGCTCCCACTTCCAGAAGATTTCCAGAGCTCCA